AGTGGAGACAGCCATGGGGATCATGCAGTTATCAGTTTTGGGCCATGCGTATCTGTTGGGTGCCATGCAACCCCTTAAATCTTGAAATCAGATTGGGCACTGCCGCCCCATTTCCAGTTCAACATTGATTTCTGGACGTGTTTGCTTTTAATCACGGCAACCACCAGAAATCCGAATTAAGAAAAATGTGGGATCATCAAGACGAACAGCGTGTAATCTGATTTGGAAGCTGAGAACTACCCGGAGCTGGTTCTCAAGGTGTCCAGCAGATCTCAGATATCACGGTGTCTCCCCCCAGACTAATGTGGGATCATCAAGACGAACAGCGTGTAATCTGATTTGGAAGCTGAGAACTACCCGGAGCTGGTTCTCAAGGTGTCCAGCAGATCTCAGATATCACGGTGTCTCCCCCCAGACTTGAGTGTCCTGTGAATTTGCTGTGGTCTGAGGTGCTCCTGGGCAGAGTTTGAGAACCATGGTGTTAGTCCCACAGACACTTGCTTCTCTCTTCTTCCTATTTCACATCTCATCTTTACCTTTTTGGCTTTAAAGATGAAGGAAGCCTGCATTTTGTTGTACATAAAGCACACATCCAATTGTTTGCTAAATTTTGTAAGAAACACAGATGAAAGTCTGTCTGTGGATTCATAGTCCCTTGTTGGGGTTTTCATGTTCATTTCAACAGTTTTTCTTCCGTGTGATAAGGTATGTCAAGAACTTAAATTAGTGCCTGGCTCTTTTCACTAAACACTTAATAATGGAAGTGTCTTAGTTTTAATAATAATTATTGAAATGTCGTGGCACTGTGTGTGTGTATCTCTCTTGCCTGCTATAAGGAAGTTGGCAAAGTAGTTGAGAAGTATTATCTGTGAAGCTTCAGGGATGGTGGGTTCCAAGGAAGCCACATTTATGGAGTTGCGTGCTTTCCTAGTAAGTAGTTTATAAAGAGGAAAGATGAATCATTTATTATCTTCAGATGGAATTCTGGCAGTTTTAGAACTCATAAAAGTATAGGAAACGTTGGCTGCTCTTACTGGGTCATTTGTTTTGTGAAAAATCAGTAATGATAAATATTTATTAGGTGAGTGGAAAAGTCTTGTCTCTGTAAAATGTTGTGACTCATCCTTCTACAAATCCTAGTTATTGAGAATTTCTCTGTTTAAAATAAAATCACACACTAGAAGTCATTCAGTTTTCTCTTTTGGAGAATTATTTTGGGTATCCTAGGGTTTTTGCTTTCAGACTCTGATGCATCTGAGACCAGAACCTGTGCTCTTATCCAGTCTCCCCTCGCTGAGAGGCCCGGACGCCCCAGGCTTCCATCCGTCTGCTTTGCTTGGAGGTGGAGTGCAGCCGAGCCAGGCTGGGTCCGTCTCTGGGTATTCTCCACCTGGGTCCACCTCTCTGGAAGGAAGATAGTTGACTGTCAGTTGAGATGAGAGCAAATGAGACCAGCCAGGGTCTCTGAAGACCAGGAGGTAACAGCAGCCGCCTCTTGATTGACGGACAACCTTTCACATGGAGCAGGACTCAAGACTGAGCCAGGCCGCTCTTAGAGACTCTTTTATTCCTCATTCTGAAATTGTGTCTGGAGAAGTCGAACCCGTCTACTTTGTTCTGACATCTTGTCCATCTTTGAGCAATTAGTTGGAGTTCCTTATGTTCAATTATTTCTGCTCTATTTAATTTTCCTGTTAATAGGGGTCCACCAAGTGAAGGTAGTGGAGGTCACTGTTACTTTTCCATCCGAGCTGCACAATTAAGGCCTTTCAGTTGGGCTTTTCATTATGATCTGTCCTCCCACAGCTCCTCCTTTCTGTTTACTCATCTGCAGAGTTGGGAGAGCCGTGTGCCAGTCTCAGATTCCACAGGCTCTTTATCTTGCTTCAGCATGTTGGAGTGAGAGGGAGAGGCAGGGATTAGATCATGGAAGGTTGGAGCCGGAGTGGACTTCACACCTCATTCGGGAGGCAGCTGGCCCCATTCTGCAGATGGGGAAATGGAGACCACCCAGCAGACTGAGGATGGAGATGGCCTCCTAGTGCTCGGGCCAGCCCCCTCCCTGCTCCCCCATGTTGCTTTCCCAGGGTGGACAGACGCACGGCCGCTTTCTCTAGTTTGTGTGAGAAAGCACCTGGTCCTCATTTTGGCTGGAAAAGCCATGTTCGTGTTCACCCTTGCTGCAGACCAGCTCTCCCAGGCTGAATTCGGAATGTCAGAAAGAGAAGCGTGCTAATGATCCTTAGTGGCAAGATTCTAGCAATCGTCCTTCTTGTGAAGGCCCAGAAACCCCACGCCTCCCTGGAGGTTGGGGGCCTTTTGGCCTTCAGCTTCCTTTTGGCCTTTTCCTGGATGCTGGTCTGAGGAAGCCCAGATGCATTGTGTACAGCTGTCTCTGGGCGATGTCCACCAGGTTCTGTGCTCAGAAGGACTGTTTCTGTCTCCTTGTTTGTATCTCCGTTGGAGTTCTCAGGGGGACGGACCGATTACCCACTACTGCCTGGAAACCTGGAGGGGGGCAGCAGTATGTGTACACCCAGTATTAAGAGGGAAATTTGTGGATTTTCCCAGACTTCCCTCTTATTTATACTCACTATTAAGAAAACTTAGTGTCTATGGAGAAGTCATTTAAAGTCTGTGAGCCTCAGTTTCCCTAAACATAATATGGGAACAATCTCTGGTTTTCCTATTCCACAGGAAGGTGGGAAAAATAAAAACAAGGTACCTTTTGAAGTGGTTTTGAAAGCGAACACGACAAAGCAGTGCCACCATGACTGTGTTGTATTGGTTTGTCCTGCCTCGTAGGTGCAGACTGCCTGCACCTTGGGAAATCATGCTGTGCGAGCAAGCAGATGCCAACCCTGAAGTAAAGCGGCCCAGAGCCCCGTAGCAGGACGGAGCTGCCCCCTGTTCACCTGTGGTCTCTCACTCTCCAGGAGGCAAGCCTGGGAGAGGCAGGCTGGTCCCCGAGATGGCTCTGTGCCCCATGGCTGCAAGCTGAGGTTCCTGGTGGGGACACACAGCTGTGGCAGGGACCCAGGGAACAACCCGCACAGGTGCTGTGGTGCCACTGGGAAAGCCTGGCTTGGCAGCTCTGGGAACTGCACAGGCTTGAAAGGGTCATAGCTTTTCACGTGACCCTTTCATGGCCTAGAGCCTGGTGAATGCTGCACCCCAGCCTGGCGGGGGAACGCCTAGGTGTTTGTGTGTGTGAATTAGGTGTGTGTGTACACATTAGGTGTGTAAGTCTGTGTATGTGTGTGTGAGTGTGTATATGAGTATGAATAAGTGTAGGTGTGTATGTATGAGTGTATTTATGTGTGAGTGTATGATGTGTGTGTGTGGAGGTGTGAGTGAGCATGAGAGTACATGTATGTGTGTGTATATGTGATGGAGTCTACATGAACGTGTATGTGTGAGCAAATATGTGTGTGTACATGTGAGGGGATATATGTGTGTGCACATGCTTGTGTGAGTGTGTAAGTGTGGGTGTGGGCCCATGTGAGGGTGTGTGAGTGGTGTGCATGTGAAGGTGAGCACACTCGTGTGTGTGCATGGTACCTCTGTGCATGTATGTGGGCTCAGGGGCGCCCCAGCCTTTGGGTTAGTGAGGGACAGTTGTGCAGGCCAGTGGTTGCCTCTTACGCTGCAGGCCCGCACTGCGGATCGGGCTGCTTGGGTTGGGCCGCAGAATGAGAGGTGAGGGCAGGCCAGCGCCCCTTAGGCCATCTACAGTGAAGGAGCCACAGGGAAAGGAAAGTTTCTTTTCCTTTTATTTCCTATCCCTCAGGTATTGATGCTTTTGTAAAAATGTTCAAAGTGAATCACTACGAAAATCCAATAGAGAAGACACAAAACACAAGCCTCCACTTTAAATTTCGAGTTGCGACAGGCCAAAGCTTACTCCGCGAGGTACTCTGAAAGCTGCCTGTCAGTATCTGCGCCCCAGGCTGCTTTGGCCACGCTCAGCTGGACTCTGGGGCGAGGCGGAGACCAGGAGGAGTGGAGTGTGCGGTTCTCAGCTGCTGACGCCTGGAAGCCCTCTCGCCTGTTTAGGCACAGTGACGTGCTGAGGGATGTCAGCAGGTGGCCCAGGCTTGGGGCCAGAGCAGCAGGCTCAGACTGCCCTTCTGGGTCACACTACTGACCTGAGTCCCCAGTAGCTCATTTCTGAATCACACGCTCTGGGTTTGTGCACCCAGTTGGTGGGAACTAACTTTTGGCCTTGCTGGGTGAGAGCCCTACACGGGGATGTGGGAAAGCTTGGTTCTAAAAGTAGCTTTAAAGGTGCCCATTGTAAGGGGGCTCACTAATGGTAGTGTATATGTTTATTTAGAAAAGTATGGCTGTTTGATATACTTTTTTTTCTCTCTCTTTTTTTCTAAGAGTTTATTAAGGTATCTCCTGTGCTTTTGGACCTGGGATATCCCAGGGGGTTGGAAAAAATAGTTAAGGTCTGGTGGAAACTGCTTTGGAAACGGATTGTGGCCTCTCTTCACCTTGTGGTATCAGATGGAAAGACAGGGTCTGTGCTTTCACCTTAATGCTTTGCAATAATAATCTTTTAAATCTGTAATGTCTGATAGCATCTTGTCAAAACCAGACTCAGCTCTCCCTGGATGATGGCACTGTGGGAAAAGGGTTGCTTCTCTGTGATGTTGTGGAGGGTGGGGAAGGGACGCTGGCAAGGATGATGCCATTGTCAAGGTGACACCCTTTGGGGACCAGCTTTTTAGAATAGCTGCTAGGAGGTGCAGGTGTTTGCTTGCTCAACATTTCCTTGGTGAAATTATTGACAAGAAAGAAGCAGAGGGAAGAGGTCACCTTTGGTGGGTTTGCTCCTTATCTGAGGGGGCATTTCCTTGAGAGCAGGAAGGATCTTGCCCTCACCCCGTCCAGGTTTCCCAATACCTCTGAGCAAGCGTCTGGCTTCCTCTAAGCCATGCATTTCTCGCAGTGCACAGCATCATTAAGTGTCTTGTTTTTGTTTCTGTTCCCAGGAAAGGAAGATCCCAACAGTTTGCGCCATAAATACAACTTCATTGCCGACGTGGTGGAGAAGATCGCCCCTGCCGTGGTTCACATTGAATTGTTTCGCAAGTAAGGGAGGCTTCCTTTCTTCCTACAGCTCCTCAAGCCTCCACCAATAAATGCTGCCCTTAGCAAAACATCCCGGCTATTTTTGAGACACTTTAAAGTGTCAAAGTGTCATTGAATATATTCCTAAGGAAGATAATGTTTCTCCCTTAAGATGTTTTCCCGTTTGATTAGTTAAATATACATCCTTGACCCTTCTAGATGTGTTAAGAGCCTCTGCCTCTGAAGAGATCCCCTAAGAATACTTCCTAAATGGACTTTTTTGATGCATGCAGAAATTAGTAACATTCTATTTTTTAAAGGTTAAATTAACACAGTATGTAAAGTAACAGTTGCTGGATGTGTATTGCTGGTGTAGAACCAATCAATCAATGACTTGAAAAGTTGATTTTAAGGTGTTTCGGGCTTAACTGGGTACTTTTTGGGTTCTAGGCTTCCTTTTTCTAAAAGGGAGGTGCCAGTGGCCAGTGGGTCTGGGTTTATTGTGTCTGAAGATGGACTGATTGTGACAAATGCCCACGTGGTGACTAACAAGCACCGGGTCAAAGTTGAGCTGAAGAACGGTGCCACCTATGAAGCCAAAATCAAGGATGTGGACGAGAAGGCAGATATTGCGCTTATCAAAATTGACCACGAGGTAAGCATGTTCCCCACCTACAGAGGAAGGTTCTCAGCTGCCCGGGATGAAACTTGTCAAAACCTGAGAGGTCGGAAGGGATGGGGCTCTCTGATTTCATAAGATTGTCAGGGCGGACTGAACCAGTCAAGTCTGGACCGGAGGGGAGCATTTAGGAGATGCTGAGTGTAGCTCAGGGTAGCAGAGGAGAGACTGTTCATGCAAGTTTGTTTAATAAGTAGTCTGTAAGATCAGAGAGTGTTACAGATAGTTTACATTTTTATAAAGGAAAGCAATAGGTTTGTAAAGAAATTAGTAGGTAAGCAGTGAAAATTGAGTCTCCTCTCCATTCCTGCCCCTGAGGCAACGTGTGTTGGAGCTTTTTGTTCATTTCTGTGTTCACCAGGTTTGAAAACAAACCAGGTCTCTGAAATTGGGTTTTGCAGGGTTAGTACATGTGTTTTAATACTTCAAAAAGTTTTGGTAACCTTGCATTAAGACAAGATAATGGATTTCTTCCTTACAGAACTTCTCAGAGCTTTTAATTATGCTAATGTGCATCTGACACTCCTTGAAAGGTTATATAATCCAAGTGATGATTATCTGAGTATAGAACTTTTCTTTTTTTTGCAAAACTGAGACAGAGTGAGCTCAGTTTGGGACGTGTTATGTATGAAAGTGACTGGCTGTCTATTTAAGTATTCTTGCAGTCATTTTTGCTCTGTTGATTTGTTTAGCAAATTCTCCATACTTGAAATTAAATGCAATTCTTAGACCATCAAAAATTCCTTGGTATGTTGGTACAGAGGTTTGGTTTGCTGGGTGGCATGTGCACTGAGATTGCATTTTTTGTTTTTTATTCATGCCCTAGTAATTTTCCTGACTTCGTATGGAAGAAAGACTCAGGGTAGGTCAGCAGCTTATTGCTGGCCCAGGATCTGACAATCAGGAAGGGTTTTCATTTCAGCTGTTTGTATAGTGTTACATGGGTGTAGGCTGTGAAGTCAGGGGCAGTGTGGTATTTATTGCCCAGGGGCAGAAACAGGCTCTGCATCCTGTGTAGGTAGCTGGCCTTAAGTGAGGTCTCAATTGCATATTATTGTGGAACTTCTAGTAACAACTTATCTTTCAGATGTGTTTATTGGTCACAGTATAACTGTAGTATGTTCTACTTGATAAGCTCCAGTGGTGGGCCAGCTCTGCTTTCATTTGTAACTTTCACCAAATCTGCAAGATAACTGTATTATGCCTATTTTATAGAAGAGGCAACAGGCTCAGAGAGGTTAAGTAACCTGCTCAAGGCCACACAGCTATGCTCTGGTGAAGCTGTAGCCTGCTAGGCTGGTCAAATTGCTGTTCCCCAAGAGCCCAAGCCCATGGCCATTATGGGGGGGATGGAAATTGGCTTTTTGGTGCGATGGGACGGCTTGACTTTAAATAGCCCCCGAGAAGGCTGGTGTACCTTCATTTAGGAACATGCTGCTAGAAGGTGTCCCGGATGTGGTAGTCTCACCGGAAGGAGGCTGACCAGAATAGTATATCCTGTGGCCACACGCAGGATTTTTCAGCGCCGCTGAACCCTTGGAAGGCAGCCAGCAGTGGGGGCCCGCTGCAAGCAGAGCGCCAGCCTGGACACTGTGTGAGCTGCCCCCACTGAGTCATTTTGTGTTTGGAATGCGTGGGTGCAGAATGTGCAGAGAGGTCGGGGATATTCTTTTCAGATTTAGAGCCAAGGTGGAGACTGTATCCTGGTGTCATCCCTGGCATGTCCAGGCGGGATATGAAAGATCTCAACAGACCAGCTTTGCAGTATTTCAGACCTGGCTCCTGCTGCCCGGGGGCTAGTCCTCTGCCAGGAGCATGCTACTTGAGATGTGTTTCTAGCTCATGAAAAGGGTGCTTGAAATTTTAAGGTTGAATTAAATATGGCTTTTCAAAATGGAATTGGAAATGAAAGGATGTTAAATTGCAGACACCCACACAAGAGACCTGTTTCCATTGGCTACACTGCTTTTTTTTTTTGCTGATATAGTTGGAAGCAGGGAGAGTGAAACCGTCTCTTCCAGCTCTTTCCCCTTTGTCTCCTTAGTTTGAGGGCTGATTATTTAAGAGAGATACAGAGACTGGCCTGTGATGAGGCTCAATTTGGAAAGAGCCTCTCACATCAGCCAATACAAATTCGCCCAGCACACAATCCAATGAATGAACAGGCACTGGATGTCCAGGGGCCCGGTGGCTGACTTGGTGGCTCATGACCCGGGCCCACTGTTTCCCCCCAGCACCATGATTTCACGTGAAGGGCTACCCATCACTGAAGCAGCTGTTGGCCTTCCTCACTGTGGTATTCTTGCCACTATTTGAGAATGGAAATTACCACGACACTTGTCATCCAGCTGCCCGTCTTCTGGGAACAGCAGCCGGCATTTCTTTGGGGGTCTGCTTCCTCCCCACTGGATAGTCCTGGTGGGACCATCAGTCATGGTGCCCCACTCTCCCACCGCCCCTGGGGGAGGACACACAACCCACTAGACCAAGCAAATGCGACCCATGGAGCTGCAGCCGGATGTCAACCACGGAAAACGACGTGGCTGTGGCTGGCAGAGCCCCTGCTGCTGAGACCCCAGCACTGTCTGAGTTGCTGGCCTTTCTGAGACTTTTCCGTCTGTTCTTGGAACTCCTCTCGTGTCTCTAATAAACCCCCCTGGACTTGAAGTTGACAGAGTTTCTGGGCTTGTGACCAAAGAATTCTATTTTTTTCTCACTTCTCACTGCTGAGCAGACATGTGCACTCACTTTCCCTGTGGAGTTCTGAGGCCAGGGGAACGCTTGGAGGAAGGCTCACGGAGCAGAGCAGCCGGCTCTCTCCTGGCCTTCTGCCTCCCACCAAACCGGAGGAGGACGGTGTCCCCCCATAGCCCGTCACTCCAACCGCAGCTTGCTGTGCTTCTGTGCTAGGATCTGCCATCTTCGCTGGGGGGCAGGGGGCAGGGGGCAGGGCTGTGACTGGGGCCAGCATTTGCCTGGACAGGAATGCCAGCTGCAGGAAGTGGGGACAGTGTGCACGCAAACATTTTAATAGAAAGCAGCTTTGAGGGCAAACCAGTTCAGCTTCACATACAAACTGCTTCCAAATGTGTTCAACATGACACTCAACTGTGTTTGCAGAATATTTTAAATTTTCATCCAAAGGCAGCATTTTGTCCAAAGAGTCTTTTCCCAAGCAGTTGAGAAGGAGAGAGAGAAGAGAGACAGAGAGCAGGAGAAATGTGAAACGAGAGCTATTTGGTTTCTTTAGGCCAAAGTACCTGGCAGAAATACTAGGGATGTATTGAAAAAGGTTCGAGGGGAAGGTTCCTTTTGTTACAGCTGGTTTTCCAGCTGCCTTGATTAGGAGACATGCAGACATAAACTCACATAAAAGCACACGCCCCCCTCGATGATCGCAACTTCAGGTCATGTCCTGTCTACCCTGTCTAAAACCCTTTACACGTTTTCCACTTTTCTTACAGAGATCTTAACTCCTTCTGACCAGGGCCTCGCCGGCCAGCACCCCCTTTGTTCCCCAAACTCACCTCCTCCCTGCTTAGCCACCCCCTCCTCTGTTGCGTCCCACAAGCCAGGGATGTTCTGCAGGTCTTGGCCTTCCCTTCCCTGGTATGTCTCCCCAATCCTCCATGACTGACCTTCCCTTCCTTCAGGTCTCAGACTAACTTCTGCCTTAGACAGCCTTCCCTGACCCCCTCCCCAGGGAGCACCCCACATCCCAGCTTCCCCAGCCCCAGTCACTCTGGGACACATCACAGACAACCACGTCTCACTGCTCATTTCCCCTGCTCATCTCCTTGTCACAATTTTCTGTTGTCTCACTTGTTTGTTGATTTAAGTTTTTATCTCTGCTGCTGGAGTGGAGGGACACACCTGTCTTACGGACTTGTCAGGTAGTAGGTGCTGCGCAGCGGTACCCCGAGTAGGAATTTCAGAGCCCTCTGCCCAGACAGAAGCGAGGCCCTCTGCCCTGTGGACTGGCGGGCCGGACGGCACCTGGGCTCACGCGGCCAGCTGCCTCCCACTTGCAGATGAGGCAGGGAGCAGGTCCCCGCCGGCCCACGTGCCCCCAGCTTCCAGCGCTCATCTGATCCCAAGGGCTGCCTGGAGATTGGGGCCGGGGACCACAGTAGCTCTGTGGTCTTTGTCACTGAAAGCGCTGGTGACGTGGTGAGATTTCCTGTGGGTGCTTTCCCCTGACTGCCAGCAACCAGGGAAATATTTGGAAGAAGCCTTGGCAGGCTTGTGAAGTGGTTTTCTCCCCTCACCCCCAGGCCTACATCCACCCCTGGCCACCTTCAGGCCAGAGGCCACCTACAGATCTGTTTGAAGTGGCCTCAGAGTGAACTTCTGGGCCTCAGGGGCTGCCTTGTTTCCAGAGGGTCCCTTTCCTGCTGAGCTGGCTGCCGGGCAGGAAGCGCTGACCGCACAATGTCTGTGAGGTTGAGAACTGGGGTCCAGGGGGTGAGGGGCCTGGGCCTTTCATGCCCAAGCCCCAGGGGCTGCCAGGCTGGTTCTGGTGTCCTCAGGCCGGTCTCAGAATTTGGCAGCCGGTGGATCAGCCGAGGTCTCCGAATGAGGGGGGTCCTGGGCCCGGGTGACTCACGCAGGCAGCCAGTTCCCCTCAGGCCACCTGCCGGCCAGCAGGCGCTGACTAAGGAGCCTGAGCTGGGCCGGAAGTGAACCAGATCGCACGCAGCCTGCATGGCCGGCCCCCTCCCTCATAACCGCGCAGGAACCCCGGGTGCGGGAGCTCTGCCACGGCGGCCCTCTGCTTTGGGATCTGTGTTTTTCCATCATGAATTCCTCCCGGCGCTCCCTCTGCACGGGTCCTTCTGTGTCTCTCTTCTTCCTCGCCCGGAACTGAGAGGCCTGCCCTTGCCTTGCTCCCCACGCACAGGCCCTGTGATGTTACCGGGCTTCCATTACCGAATCGATCTTTACCATGTGCAGGGGACAGGGATCAACGTTTCATG